CTAAAAAAACAAACAAACAAAGGATTTTAGAGTTGAAAAGGGCCTTAGCAATCAGCTTTTACAGGCCTAGACTCAGAAAAGCTGGATTTGTGCAGAATTCTCTGGATATTACTGATCAGAAATCTACTGTGTTAAAGTAGAGAAATATATTACAATAAATAGTAAATACATAAGATGCATTTGATTAGAGGATCTGTAAAGGAATAATTATATACATAGTTCCATTTAACTACATTAATGGAAACAAAACATATTAAATTGAAGGCTCTTAAAGACTATGTCCCTGTCAACTTTCTCCCACTGCCTCATCTACGCAGTCATTATATATTTCCTGACTAGTTCTAATGAAGATGTGTCATTGACTTATCTGCCAGAAAAAGAAACAGACTAGAATAGCACACAACAATACGAGTGAAAATATACTCTGTAAAAATGTAAGACGTCATTGGAGAATCCAAAAGGATGAATCTTCAAAAAAGGATTTATTTCATATAATATGAGGAAGGTCTGAAAGAGGCCAGAGTGTTTGAAACTGGAGCTTTATAAATTTATGTGATTTTTGAGTTTAGCACCATCTACTTCATTTAGCATATTACTCTGAGCTATGCACTGAGTATTAAGGGAAATATGAGTAAGATACAGCTCTCAATCCCACAAGAGTCTACTGAGAAGGGGAAACAGGATGCAAATCACTGCCAACAAAGCAAAAATGTCATAATAGAGATACACAAATAATGTTATAGAAGATGAAGAATAACTATGTCATCTTGCTGGGGATGGGGAAGAATTCAGAGATGCCTTCAATAGTATGGATAAACATCAAAATCAGAAACAAACTATAGTAAAGTGTGACTTCTATAGGACTATCATCTTTTCAATAAAATAGTTCACAGAAATTAGGTGAAAAGTAAAAGAAATGAATATAAGAAAGAAGAAAACATGAGAACCATTTTAAAAATTTAGTTATCATTAATTTGCAAGTAGCAAACACAGAACAAAACAAAAACAAAAATCCCAACAACCAGCCAATCAAGATTGATAATCAGCTTCAAGCTAACCTACCATATTTGAATGGACTGCTACCTTTGTTCATTAAAACAAAACAAAACAAAACAAAATCCACCCAAACTTTCAAAGTTGGCACTGAAAGAATAATTTCTTCATAAGAAAAGGACATTTGAACCACATTTCTGAACTGGAATCTCTTGTTGACTATACTGCTTCCATAACCTTGCTTGGGATGTGGGAGGGGGTTAACCCTTTAACATTGGTCCAACTGTGGTCTTTTTCTTGATTCCTCATATGGCACAGCTGAAACAAAACTAAGACATTTAACAATATTTGAGGAAAAGGCTAAAAGATGCAAAAAAGAATAAAATGAACAGAGAATTACAGGCTACAACTTTTTTTATCTTCAGTTCATAATCTAATAAACATGTCCCATTTTTTTATTATTCTTGACACCTGCTTCCTCCCCAGTCTTTAGCCACCACCACAAGAGTCTCTCTCCTTCCTAGTGATCCAGAGAACTGTATGTCAAGAGACAACCACTACACTCACTACCGAATTTCCAAGGCCACTTTGGTGGATTTCTGTTCTCTAAGGTCCTGCTCCTTCCCAGAGTGACTGATGCGAGAGATATTCAACTTTTCGAAGCTGTGTCATCATTCTTCCAGACCTCAAAAATAAACAAACTGATCCCAATAAGCCTTAACACTCATGTGACATGGAGGTGGGGTAGGTAGGTGGGAAGTCACTCCTTAAATTACAGTAAAAACCCTGCATCAGTGATAAGCCAATTCAGCTTTTTTAATACAGTGGGCTTCTAATTATCAAGACAAAATTCGATTCAAAACAATTTTTAAAACCACGAATAGTATTTTAGGCAGAAGAAAATATCCACAAAAATCGACAAGCATGCAGTATGAAAGTACCCCTTATTTGAAATCACCGTTTACACAATGTTCTCAATTAGCTGTCTACAAAATTATTCATGCACATATGAAAGAGTTAAAATACTAGTTTCAGACATTATCACACTGAGAAAAACTTTTAATTCTAGGAAATAGCTACTTTATAAATGAAAATATATACAGCAGGACCTCAGAGGAATTAAGTTATTACAACAAAAGCTGAATACTATAGTGCTTTTTAAGGAATGGCTCTAGCAATTTCTCCAAATAATATCTACTTTAAATAAAGTCGCTGAATCCACTTGTAAATTATTTCCCTTTAGCTGTCTCATTATTCAATATGCTTTCAAGGAACATGGTGATGAAAGAAGAAAAATACCTCTTTCTAACATAACCATACTGGCAAGAACATCAACATTATCAGTATTCAAAGAATGTCTTGGCAGGTTAAACCTTCATAAAAAGAAGGAACACTATCTAATCCAAGATGTCAAAATAGCAATAGTACTTCTCATATTATGTGCAATATGATTGTTTGTTTCTAAAGAAGAAAAAGACTTCAAAAGAAGATGTCAATATCGTCCTGTGTAAATATTAGGCAAAAGCAAACATTTTTCAGAAAAGCACATAAAGAATGATAAACATGTTTAAAAGAAAAAGGCTAAGAGCAGAGCAGGACTCGATGTTCAAAGAGATTTAGGACATGTGCCACTGCTATTCTGGGAGGTTTAACAATATATTTCAACATGTGAGGTAGAACAGTACTATTAAGAAACAAAAGTGGAACAATAACTAGTACTAAAAGAAAAAAGCTTGAAGACAAGTAGCTTATTCTAATTCAGTCCTTGATTTCCTTGTGTAATAATAGCTAACACTTAATTCTACATTAAGACTTTTTATAATCTTACATTATTTTTACTGTATAATATTCTCAGCATACTCTTCAGGATTTGAATTGCATCTGAAATTACTGAAGGGTATCAAGGGACTCGTGTTTGTTCATTATCAGTTCAGACTCGCTGTCCTCCAAAAATAGTAAAATGCAGCATTTCATAAAATACTTTCCATTCTCAAAAGATAAAGCATGCACTGATGATCTTAGAGTGGTTGGGGAAATTTATATAAACTTATTCAAAACTTAGAAAATATGCACTTGACTTTTAAGTATTCACTTCCATTACATGGAAGCAGAAATCTTGGTTTAATCTAGTATTATTTTCTCATACTCAAAACTTTCCTATTTAGAATTGCTTTTCTTTTAAAAATATATGGTTCCTATCATCATATTTTATCCTTTTCCATATGTTTTCCCTTCCTGATTCTTCTGTCCTTGATCTTTTTTTAACTTGGGTACATTTAACTTTTAATTGCTAACTGTCCTTTGGATCAAGAGGTCATGGGGTTATTTATACTAGCAGGATGAGCCTCCATCTATCAACATCCTGAGGAATCACAGCACAGTAGAACTGGAAGAGATCTCAAGGTATCATGTGGTTGAGCTCTACGGCACCAGGAACAGGTGGCTGACTAATCTTAATGTTCTTCTTTCTTTTTTGTTTTTTTTAGGGTGATCAGAGATTTTGATCATAAATATTCTATCACAGCTTGGTTTAATACAGAATCATCTCAATAACAAGTAAACACAGAATAGAAAGAAAACTGGATGAAAAAGGGTTCTGACCTCAGTACTATTAATTGCTATTAAAATATAGAACAATTTCTTTGACTATTCTGAGTGTCAGGTTCCTCGTACAAATAAGAGATAATGCTGGCTAACTTACAAAGTTATTATGAGTGTTCTGAAACCTGGAACAGAATTATATAAATGTAATACAGTGTTAAAATGGGAAAACAAGACAGTAGGGTGTAATGAGCCTGCACTCTTTAGTCATGTCAAGTTTCAAATCCCATCTCAACAATTTGATAGCTGTGCAATATAAAGTTTTTAACCTCTCTGAGTTCAGTTTAGAGGACAATGTAAGTTAATATGTCTACCTCACTTAGTTGTTGCTATTGATTATAGGAGTTTAATGGACTTAGGATATGATGTAGCATTGCACAGGCCCTCAATAAATGTTAACTCTCAACTCTCCATGAGGTTTCCATAATTCTGCTGTGTGGTCCTGCTCTCCTTCCATTAACTATTTCAAGTGCACATGTGGAACTTTATGAAAAACAAAATAATCACAAAATACATAAACTTTTCTTCCCACCAAGATTCATCAAGCAACAAGAGTTTCTTAGTCAGCCTTGCTTTGAAAAATGGAAAGAAATGAGGTAGAGCTTCCTTAAAAAAAACAAAAAAAAAAAACCCCAAAAAACAAAAAAATCTCCTCCAAAGAAAAAACTGTAACAGAAGGTGAAAAATATCACTGAATTTTGAACTCCTTAAAGGAAAACATGTCTTCCTCATCTTTATATTTAGGAAGCACGCAAACATTTCTTGGGGGTGCCTGGGTGGCTCGGTTGGACAACTGCCTTCAGCTCAGGTCATGGTCCTAGAGTCCCAGGATCGAGTCCCACATCGGGCTCCCTGCTCAGCACTGAGTCTGCTTCTCCCTCTGACCCTCCCTACTCTCACGCTCTCTCTCTGTCTCTCAAGTAAATACATAAAATCTTAAAACAAACAAACAAACAAAACACTTCTTGGATGTCTCCTGGCAGAATCACTGATTTCAGTAATTACGAAATGAAAGGTTCAATCAGATTTCATTTAGATATCAGATAAGAAAGTAAAGATGCTCTTTATAAAGATAAAACTAAAGAAATGTGGACAAATTTTTTGCAAGAAGACTTTACAAATCTGATTTAGATAAAATACACTGTCCCTTTATAATAATATCACATACCAAAAAATCTTACAGAAGCATAATAATGGGGACACCTGGGTGGCTCAGTCAGTTAAGCATCTACCTTCGGCTCAGGTCATGATCCCAGAGTCCTGGGATCAGGTCCCACATTGGGCTCCTTGCTCAGCGGGGACCTGCTTCTCCCTCTGCCTGCCACTCCCCCTGCTTGCTCAGTCTCTCTTTCTCTCGCTGACAAATAAATAAATAAAATCTTTTTAAAAAGCATAATAAGGCTTACCTTGTTATGTATAAAAACAATCCGTAAGTCAGGCTTAAGTAAACCATAGCTTATGAGGAGATCCTGGACCTTTTTAATTTCATCTTTACATTTTTTAGCAGTTGAGTAGAACTGCTTTCTTACAGGGAGATTCTTAAACAATCTTAAAGCAGTTACAGTTGTACCTGTTGGCAGATAAAAGCACATCTAGATGTGAAAAGAACTTCAGAACCTTCAAATCCATATACACCAGTATTTAACCCCTTCTAGAACTCGTGTCTATTCTCTTTTCTAGGTCTCATAAAGCATTTGTTGTTTTTACAAGAAAACATTTCTGAAACTGTTGTGTATTCCTGCAATCAACACATGAATTACCAATTAATACACAAAACTTCTTGTCCAAATCTGGGGAGGCCATTAATTATAAGCCACAGCTTGTTTTCAGAGATGTCAAAATTTGACAAAACATGCATCTTAGAATTGACTAAGATATTATCTGAGACCTATAGTATTCAAGTTACATAATAAAAGCTTATTCAATATCATCATGTGGATGTCCCAAAGCCACCTCAAACCAACCACACCCAGAACTGAACTCATTATTTTCCTCCTTGAGTCTGATACTTATACCTATTCTCTTTCTCATGTAACATGGACATCCAACAGTTTCCAAGACATATACTCTAGCTTTAACTGATTCTTCCCTCTACCTCTTACTACATAAGTCTTCTAGGCCTATGTAGTCTATCCTAAAAATCTCTCTCAAATCTATGTAAAGTCCTTTTCCTTCCTTCAAAACTTAGTTCAAGATGACATGTCTTATAATAAGATATAATTTATGGTATTATAATGTTCTACTGGTTAATTTTATAAGTAACATGATATACATCCTCTACCTAAAAAGTTTCAGTGGCTCACTGTTGGCTATAGAAAAGGTATTAACTTTTACTTTCAGTTCTAGAAATTTCACTTGGTTCTTTTTTAGAGTTCCATTTCTCTGCTGAAATTCTCTACCTTTTTACCAACTTTGACCATCTTTTCCTCTAAACTCCTTAACACAGTTGTTTTAAGTTCTTATCTGCTAATTCATACATCTAGGTCATGTTTGTGTTTGCTTATATGAACTATTTTTTTTCTCTTGATTATAGATCCCATTTTCTTTATGTTTCTCAATATTTTTGTTTTTGCCAGATATTGCATACAAAAATAAATGCTGAAGTAGATAATATTTTCCCCCAGAGAAGGCACTTCATTTCCTCTGTCAAGCAGCTAGAGTGACGAGAGGATCTCTTCAATATAATTAGGAATGTATCTGGGTTGGAGCTGAGCTGTCCCTTTATTTAGCTCCAGTTCACTTCCAGTTTCAAATGTCGTTAAGGATGGAATTAGGTCTTCTCCTCCAGCAAGGCTCTGGGATCTAAGCACTGCGAGACTTTAAGATCTTTGTCGATCTCAGTCCCCATTTTCTTTATCACTGCTTACTCAGCGAAAGTCCTGATGAGATTTGGCATCCAGGGTGAACCAGCTGTATTTGAGGATCCCATCCTCCCATCTGTCATGTCGGTTCATACGCGGCTGGTAAAATTCAGCTGGTTTCTTCTAGGTCCGTAAAAGATCCCTTATCCACAACAGAGAGCACCTATGCCTCCTGTTTCAGTTAATGCTCCCATGGATGCAAGGAGACACTAAGTCTCTTCTTGTCTAGGAAGGGGTATCTTTCTCTTGAACTTAGTTCATTTAACTTCTTTCCCCACTCCCCCAAGTTTTCATTTAAATTCCAGTTAGTTAACATACAATGTAATATTAGTTTCAGGTGTAAGATTTAGTGATTTATCACTTACATACGAAACCTGGTGCTCATCACAACATATTCCCTCTTTAAAGATTTTATTTCTTTATTTGAGAGAGGGAGAGAGAACTTGAGAAGGGAGAAGCAGACTCCCCAAGGAGCTGGGAGCCTGATGTGGGACTCGATCCCAGAACTCCAGGATCATGACCTGAGCTGAAGGCAGTGGCTTAACCAACTGAGCCACCCAGGCATCCCCACATTCCCTCTTTAATAGCCAACATGTATTTAACCCAACCGCGTACCCACCTCCCCTCCAACAACCCTCAGTTTGTTTTGTATAGTTAAGAATCTGTTTTATGGTTTGCCTCTCTCTCTTTTCCCCTCTATGTTCATCTGTTTCGTTTCTTAAATTTTACATATGACTGAAATCATATGGTATTTGTCTATTTTATGGCATAGTTCTCCAGTGGATTGAAAAAAAAAATACAAGTTTTTAAAGGTATGTGCTCTTTTCCTTCATCATTCCTCTCTTGCTGCAAGGTTAAACTCCCACCCCTTCTCACCTACCATCTTCAAACTCAAATGATAACTTCTCTGAAAAACTCCATAACCTTCCTCTAGGCAACTGGTGGCTTCTATTTACTGTCACTACTTTTCTAGTCATCTCTGTTCCCTTCTACTTTGTGAGTTCCTTTAACTCATCTGTGTTCTCCACTAGCTGTGACAGATGCAATGGCATATACTGTAGCTGTGGACAGATGGTGAGAAGAAAGGCAGACGAAAATCAATAAAGTCAAATATAAATGTATTTTTGAAAAGAAAAGATATCTGTTGTTTTTTAAATTTGTTATACATGAAAGATCACACTGTAATTAATACATATGTTGATAAATTATCGCTTCAGCAGATAAAAATGCTCTCCTAGAGCAAAATGAGAATTATCAATAAGCCAAGATTGTATGTTTGGGTAAAACTTAATGATGGAAAACTTTGCTGATTCTAAATGAAATGTGTACCCTTAAGAAAAGTACCAAGTGATACTGGCCAGTAGGGAGGAGGTCCTAGTATACTATCATATTTTACAAGAGAACTGCTCACCTCTCTAACTTTAGCACATTCTACAAACACCAGAATTAAGTTGCAGTCCTATAGTACGGCTCCCTGTTATATTTTCACCTGACCCTATGTTATGCCATTTATAAAGGTAGCTATTTTTATTCCTAATGCAAAGGTGTATGGTTGCTTGAATATATGGAACCTGTCTTAAACTGGTTAATGACAAAGTTTCATTCTCCAGTTGAAAAAATCTTTCAATACATGCACAATCATACCTAGCAGGAATTTACAAAGAACACGACACTCTACTCTAATAACAGGGTAAGGAAAGGAACTACCCTGATTACTTTAAATATACTACTTTTGATATCTGAGAAATTCCTAAGGCAGAAGTACTAGGAGGTGTAAAAAGAACTTGTCCAGGAGGGTAAATCAATTTAGAAAGCTTGTACTGATTAGGGTAAAGAAAACAGAAGTGATGACAGAAAAAAGATAGGATTAAAACAAGTAATTTAATAAGTTATTGGTAAAAATGATTTAAAAGCTGGGGACTTATTTTTACATTTGTTAATTTTTAAAATGTCTTAAAATAGAAGTGACCAGAAGGGTAATTTAAAATGACATACTATTAAGCACACATATCATTTTAAATGCCTAACTTAATCCATAAAACAAATACCTACACCCAAAAAACCCAGAACTAGAATCTCCAGTCAACTATTTTTAAACATTTTAAATGTGTTTTTTTAAAGGGTAACAAATTTTCCAATGCCTAAAAAAGATTTTGCTGTGAGCTGTCCCTGCATCTACAGTTAGGTTGTCTACAGGTATCATTATCTGATCTATCAGATGAAATGAGGAGTAACTGCTAAGCAAGGATGTTCACACCACTGCAGAAATTAAATCTACAAGAACCCTAAATGCACAGGTATTAATTAAGATGGTTGTACGGTAGTTTTATCTTACACAGAAAATATTTAAATGGAAGTTGAATGACAGCTGGTGGTGAAATGTGAGTCTGTGATTCAACCACTCGAAAACTATCAGCACTGGGCAATATAAATGTAAAAGGCTTTTAAAAGTATTTGCAGATTTCTATAAAATGTCCATCTACAGCAATTTGAAACTAAGAGCTTGATTCTTTATTGCTTTCCTAGCCAGCCAACTGTAATTAGGAGATAAAAATGAATGATGAAAGGCAATTACTAGTTTCAAGTATAGTTTCTTAAGATGAATATGCAAAAGAAAATAAGGCTCATTTATTGACCGCAGAAATTCTTTAATATGCATACTTAGTCTCAGTGAAAGTAGAAGACCAGGTCAGCAAAAAAAGAAAAATCAATCAGCAAATGGGCAAAGATCAGAGGGACTCCATATTTAAGTATTGCTATTTCATACTTCCCGTGGAGATGAGCACAGGAAAGTACGAGAAGAATGAGTGGTACAGAGCAGGAGCCATACAGATTAAACTGGTGACTACTAAGATAAAAATGAATACATTTAAGTTTTAAAATGTGACTAGATTACTTCAAAGTACTCTACTGAACAGCCACACAAAAATCTCCTAATGGTTTCTTAATTTGAACTCCTAAAAATTGGGAGTCAGAGCATTTCTAGAACTAGAACATACTAAAAAAAAAAAAAAGCCTTCTCTTTCCTAACCTTCAGTACATAAAAAGAATCACTATTATTTTTAATTAAAATATGTACAGTATTATTATACATCAAATTAAACAGCTACTAGACTTGAGCTAATTTTAATTAACTGAATAAATGAGAAAAAGGTTTTTTTTTTATTTCCTACTAATTCTTTCCTTTGTGTGGATATAAAAATATTACTCTTAATAAGCAAGAATAATCAGTAACTAATTTGAAGATTTATAAAATAATAGAAAAAGTGAATTTGGCATCAGTATTAAAATATTAGAAAAAATATATATATTTAAGATTTTATTTATTTATTTGAGAGAGAGAGAAAGCATGAGTGGGGGGAAGGGGCAGAGGGAGAGGGAGAAGCAGGCTCCCTGCTAAGCAAGGATCCCAATGCAGGCTCCATCACAGGACCCCAAGATCATGACCGGAGCTGAAGGCAGATGCTTAACCAACTTAACCACCCAGGCACCCCAAAAGAAAATATTTTTCAATGAATAAAGATCATAATCATTAAAAAATAAATCCAATAATTTAATATTAAAATTGAAAGAAAAAACTACAGAAAATATAGAACTTTATTAGATACAAGGGACACAAAATTAAAAAATAAATTTATGATACAAATTGGAAGGGCAAACAGCAATTAAAAAACAGAAGTCCCTTTCAGATCAAATAATTATTTTGAACATGATTCTAAAGAGGTCATTTCTTCAACATTTTCTCAACTTTAAACATTCCATTACCAGAAGTTAGCAATATGAAAAAAATTAAGGGAGATATAAGAAACTTAAGCCTGAAGAGATTTTCTTTTTCCTTATAAATAAATGGTAGAAGAACTTAAGAATGTAAGATGTCGATTAAAATGTAATAAAATTACATAAGTCTATGAAACACTAAAGAAATATATTACAAATAGCAACAAAATAATCAGTACATTTATTTTCTTCCAATAATACAGAAAGAGGAAGTAGGTATTAGATGAAACAACATTAGCAATGGGTGGACAATTGTTGAAATTGAGCGATGGGTACACTATTCTATTTACTTGCACATACATACGAAGTTTTCCATAAATAAATATATTTTTATTATTTATTTAACCATAGCATCTTGATGGTATGGTTTATTACCATGATTACCAAATCAATAATGTTTTACGCATTTCAGTAAACTATCGTTCTTCACATATAAAGAAAACACAAGTGATGCAACAATAGTAAAACTGTTCTTACAGTTTTACAGAAGGGTGACTAATCTGTATTTGGTCCTAAGGCTTTTACACAGCTCCTTTTGAGAACAATTCTAAGTATTTAAGAAATGGTACTAAAAAAAGGGTTGAATATTCACTTGGAAGTAAAGTAGACTTTATCACACGACCAAACCTGAAGCAGCATATTTGAATTTAAGGGGTAACAATGTTTTTAAAAAAGACAAGAAAGGCAAAGATACAAAGCTACTCTCTTACCTTGACCAAGATGTGAAGGTTTTTGAGAAATTATGTGGCCGCTGCCATCTAAAACATACTGGGTGCTAAAATTATCAGAAGCTGTCCTTGTAGTAATTAAAACCTGGAATAAAAAAAAAAAAAACACTAATAAAATTATTATTCTAGATACTGTAGTGGACTCATTATCCTCATTATCAAATCAGATTTAAAATAATTATAAATTTACTTAAAATTGAAAAAAGTTGGTTGATGGGGGAGGGGGGTTTCGGGGGGGTGGGGTTATAGACATTGGGGAGGTATGTGCTATGGTGAGTGCTGTGAAGTGTGTAAACCTGGCGATTCACAGACCTGTACCCCTGGGGATAAAAATATATTATATGTTTATAAAAAATAAAATTTAAAAAAAAATTGAAAAAAGTTTTACACTTGCTAATCTCTTATGATCACTTCTCTTGTAATATTCCCTTAGAGTTATATTAATAATAGGCTAACATTTTTTTCAGGGGCAAATCACTGATCTTTGAATATTTAACTTTAATTAAAATACTCATACACAAATCAGTATATCTGAAATGGCTATTTGTGTTATATAACTTACATCTGTAAAACCAATATTTTGATTGCATTAAGGAAACTTACTTTTTAAAAGACAATTCCCATAAATTTGTTGGTAATGTGAAAAATCCTTTTGTAAAATGATAATTCCCTCCCCTTTTATATTCTGTATAAAACTATACTTCTTTTAAGCTAATGGTTCAAGGAATAAAAAAATATAAATCATACACATATATTTATGCACAATTTTTTCTTAAAAACAAACAGAACTATTTAAAGGTAAATTTTCTATTAATTGAAAAATACTTTAGCATTAAGGCATGTATGTATAAGAAAGGATTTTACTGACCATGAATATATTTCCTTAGATGTTAGGGACAGAAATAAGAATTTAAGAGTATCTGCATTCAGGGTGCCTGGGTGGCTCAGCTGGTTAAGCCTCTGTCTTTAGCTGATTTCTAGACCAGCGACAGGCTTCCTCATCAGCTGGGAGTCTGACCATTCCTCTCCCTCAACCCCCCACCCAACCCTGCTTGTGCTCTTTCTTCATATCTCTCTCTCAAATAAATAAATCTATTAAAAAAAAAGTCTGCATTACCTATTTTTTTGAGATGAGTGGGAGAGCCTAACAATAGTAAACCATTCCAGTATCAGAAAATACCATAGGTGGAGAGTGGGGATGTCCTAGGAAAGCACAGTGGTTTCAGAAATGGGTGGCCTCTTCACACATTTTGTGAGCAATGATAACGCAAAGCTGGAGCAATCTTTCTTGGCCATTCTTGTACTCAGCAGAGCCGACTATGTAAATTAGGAAGAAGCCATAAAGATCCAGCTCCACTGCTGGAACTCATCTAGATTCAGCTGGAGCTACACTGGATTTGATGGTTCTACCTCCCTGTCCTAAGCATGCACTAACTTACAGTAGGCCATATGGCTACAGAACATGTGGGTACCATGCAGGAAATAGCAGTCACCCCAGAAATGGCTTCTCTAGCTCATAATACTAGTAGAATCTATTATATTCTCTCTAGGGGTAATGTCCATCAAATCCTTACAAGGGACATTGCCTCAAGTTGCCATTTCCATAATAACTGTTCCTCAAAAAAGCTGCACCTAACATAAAGTTGTGAGAGTCTATATAATCTTAAGTGATTTTTCTACTTCTTCCAGAAATATATTCCATGGTTCAAAAGTTGTATAATTTTGAAAGTTTTCCTGATAACTGACCTTAATCTTCCCTGCTCCATCTCAATTCTATTCTATCTAGTAATGACTTTTTCTAACAAAGTTTAATACGATGAGTACAAAAAATTTCTTTCCAGTCTCTAATTTAATTACTTTATGATTGTCCCATTAAAAATAATTCTAAATTTAATCAACCACTTCTCAAAAATGCTAAGGTCAGCTAAATTCTACTTCTATTCTCCAAAGAGCTAGCCACCTAGCCTAAAGTTGGAGTTATTGAGCAAAAGTAGCCCTGAACTCTGAGTTCTAGTACTAACTATGCCAGTGGCTTGGTTAGATGGCCTTGAATAAATGATTACTCTACCATCTTTAAGGGGAAGGCAATGATAAGATGAAGATGATGCTACTTTACAAGGTTACATGGGTATTTGTTTTGACTACTTTCAAAGCATTTCATAATTATTAACTTGTTCATCCTTTAAACATATTAGTTAACAGTAAATACACTCCAGCCTAGATGAATAAACTGATACACTAAAAATCAAAACAGGACCTCACTGGTCCCATTGTAATAGTTGCATTAAAGTAAAAAAAAAAAAAAAAAAAACCAGAATACAATATTATTTTCCAATGTTAAATTCTTTTAAAATTAGAATGTGTTGGGTATTTTGAAAATTTATTTCAATAGGAAATTCTTTGCAATTCACTGTGAAAGACAGCAAAGGATAACACATAAGCATGTTTCACAAATTCATGAAACACAATGTGTTCCTCAGAGGAAGGAATTGTATTTCAAGAGTTCATTTCATCATATGACCCTGTGTCCTGGGCAGGAAACCTTTTTTTGGACTAGGCACAAGCTTAGAATGTATTTGCTCTGCAGGAGCTAACAAATTTGAACCCATAGTAACTCTACCATCGGATGCATCTCTAACATTACAAACTATTACTTGTGCTTCTTACTAGAGACATTAATGAACTGTGGCAGAATGAATCTAGTGGTGTCAAGAGAAGAACAAAATAAATTTATTTTAAGAATTTTTAAAAGTTTATTTTAAAGTTCTCAGAGAACCTTATGGGTTATATTAGCTATCAGTTATTAAAAACTGACGTTTCAGTCCAATTATTGAGTTTCAAGGGAACTATAATACTAATAAAAAGTTACATAAAAGCATTTAAACTTTAAATAAGCATAATGTTTCTCAATATTTTAGATAAAACTAAAATTTAAAACTTAGGATATATCCTCTTAATTCATGCAAAACCAACCAAACAAACAAAAAACCTCTCTTGGCAAAAATTCATTTAGGATAATTTTGTTAAAATTTTGTTATTTTTTTTGCTGACTTTTGGATGAATACTTTGACACAGGAAACAGGAGTCTGAAAACTAAGGCAAATGGTCTTCATGATTCAGGAGAAATGTCAGCTTTGCCTGAATCACTGAAATGCCTTTTCCTTTCTGGGTGTGAATATGCCCGCCTATGCAGAGTTGTACACTAATATAAGAGCTCTGACGTCAGAACTTCTCCCGGATAATTCACTCTGGGAGACTAACAACAGGGAAATCTTGGCTCTGACTTTTCTCCTTTCAACAGAGTTCCATTACCTGTGAGGAGGCTGCACTTAGAAAGGAGGATACCCCGCTTCTTCAAAAATTCCTTAGAAACCAGGATACCCCACTGGTTTAAAAATTCCTGTGTCTATTCTAATTAAAGCTCTATCACCATGGCTTTAAAGAACACAGGATGTATCCTACAGTATGGAACAGGAGGGAAGAAATTATCAAAATGATTCTGGGGCTTCCTCCTATCTTTTACAGCTAAGAGGGCCCACAATTAAGGAAGTCCCAACTTTCATATTCAAAACAGAATCATATAGCTTCCGATTTTGCCCCCCTTTAAGCCACAAGGTTTAATGAAATGTAAAACAAAAATGAACCTACAAGAGATAGTGCAAACAATCATAAGGGAAGGGAGAGAAAACTGAATGGTAGAAATCAGAGAGGGAGACAAACCATGAGAGACTCTTGATTCTTGGAAACAAACTGAGGATTGTGGAAAGGGAGGTCGGTCAGAGGATGGGGTAACTGGGGGATGGGCATTAAGGAGGGCACATGATATGATGAGCACTGGGTGTTATACGCCACTGAAGAATCACTGAACACTACATCTGAAATTAATGTTGGCGGTTAATTGAAATTTAAAAAAAAAGAACCACATATCATGTTATCCCATCAAAAAAATACACACAATGAACTTCATGGAGCAGAATACTACCCAGCACAAGGTAACCACTTAAGAAAAAGTACTTTCTGCCCAAAGATTTTCAAAATAAATTAGAGCCTTTAAAACAAATATGCGATATCTATATGTGAAATTTCAGATCTGAGTGAAGAATATTCACTAAATTTAAAAAGTGAACTTGCCTCCCCAAAAAGCACTCATTAATAACTATAATTCCTCAATAAAATTTTTTAAATCTAATTGACCTTAACAAGCATATATTAGTTTCTGTATTTCTGAAATACTATTCAGAATCCTCCCACATAAGTTCCAACTTGACTACTCCTTGATATCATCTACTGAGCTTACGGCTGCAGGCCTGAGTATATTCACTATTTTAGTACAAGGTATTTTTAAACTAATAAATATCTCTCCAATCATACTAGTAAGAAGGCAGCATGACCTACTGTGGTAAACTCAGTACTAGGAGGCATGATATTGGAACTGAATTCTTGGCTTTGCCATGGACACATTATATGTCCCTAAATAGGTCACAATTTTCATATTCCATTTACTGCCCTGGGCACAGTTCTTCTAAAGTAAACTACTTAGCACAGCACCCTGCATACAACAGACAATTAAATAGTAGCTGACTGATTATTAGACTATGTTTCAAAGTTGGAGTAAGAAAACCTGGCATTTGGCTTCATCAGTAATATGAGACAGAACCACAGAAGATCTACATGTTAGGGTGGCTTACCCATAACACAGATTGAGAGGGACACTACTGAGCAGGAAGCTCATTGTGGGTGCTCCCAAGATGATCACTTGTGATGGCAGGGCAGAAAGAGATGTGGGGCTCTGCAGTCACAAACAAGGACTTGGCTGACCCTGGAGAGTCACTTTTGCCCAGAGATAGCATGGCAGAGGTGTTCTGACTTGGAATAGAACATTTATAATCCCTCATTAGTCAGTCATTGGATGCAGGTTGCCCTGTTCAGCTGAGGTAAAGGCAATCTCCAGAGAGAGACTCAGTTTTGAGCATTCAGGTGCCAATACTAGGGAGCTAGGCGAATGGACTCCGTCCTGATGAAGGGGATCTGGCAGTGAAACAGGGTCCTACCAGGATCTCTTCTGAATCTAGATTTTTGATGATGCGTTAGCTTTCAGAAACAATCAAACCCAAATCATCATTATGAAATCTGTGACAAAAAAATACATATTGTAAGATTTCATTTACATCAAGTTCAAGAACAGGTAGAACTAATCTATACTGATAGAGGTCAGAATAGCTGTTACCTAGTGGGAGGGAGCATGAGAACACCTTCAGGGGTGCTGATCATGGTGTGTATCTTGACCTTGAGTCCACATACGTAAAATATGCACACATGTATCTATGTGTGGTTTTCCCAAAGATTTACAAGAAAAGAGATTACATAAAATGCTGTTAATATTTTGTAAGATAAACATTTGACTTTACAATGTGTAAACTGAATATAATTTTTAAGAAGTTTACAGTCTTATATTATTCTGGTAGTCTGACAATTCCTTTATTCCTCTAGTAATTCTGATAAATTATTTTAAGTATTTATACTCAAGGCATTCAAATGCCTCAAAAATAAAACAAAAGACAAAATGATAAACTTGGATATCAACTGGGCTTAAGTAGTCAAATAAAGAAACAAAATAGAGTACCACTGGACAGAGAATTGCAAAATTGCCATTTAAAATCAGAACTACAATAAAGATTTGGATAAATCATATGGCTCATTACCATGTATTTTAAAAAGACTAAGTATAGTGCTGCCACCTAGTAGACAAAGCTGATAATAACCAATTTCAGTTCTGAAAGGTTACATACATCTTATAGAAAATACAGAAATGACTTTTTGTTTGTTTATTCATTTGTGGGTCCCCCCCCTTAGATTCCACCTCTGAATAAAAGGAGATACTGGTTTCCAGTGATATGGACTGAATAAGTCATGGGACCTAAAAGGCACAGCATAGAGGAATGTAATCAACAATGTAATAGTGATATATCAAGACAAGTTAGCTACAGTTGTAGCGAAGACAGCATAATGTATAAACTTGTCAAATCACTACGTTGTGTAACTGAAACTAGTGTGTCAACTACACTAAAATTAACAAATTAATTTCTGAAAACCCAGAAATGCTTAATTTTACATTATTTAACGATACTTTGCCAAAATATACCTTAAAGACTACCAAGTTCAGAGGTGCCTGGGTGGCTCAGAGGTTAAGCATCTGCCTCTAGCTCAGGTCATGATCCCATGGTCCTGGGATCAAGTCCCACATCAGGCTCCCCACCGAGCAGGGAGCCTCCTTCTCCCTCTCCCTCTGCCTGCTGCTCTGCCTACTTGTGTGTGCTCGCGCTCTCTCTCTCTCTCTGTTAGGTAAATAAAATCTTAAAAAAAAAAAAAGCAACAAAACAACTAAAAAGTTTGGCCAGCAGCTAAAAAAAAAAAAAAAAATCAAATAATTATGTTCTCAAACAAAAAAAGAAATACATGATTTCTGGGACACCTGCGTGGCTCAGTTGGTTAAGCCTTCGGGCCTTTAGCTCAAGTCATGATCCCAGAGTCCTGGGATCGAGCCCCATGTCAGCCTCTCTGCTCTTCTACCTGCCACTCTGCCTGCTTATACTTTCTCCCTCTCTTTCCCTCTCTGTCAAGTAAATAAATAAAATCTTAAAAAAAATAAATTATATGATTTCTAAAATAGCTACCAGGAGCTCAAACAATAGCATGTGCTAGAGCCGGGAGTTTCAGAGGTTCCTGGTATAAATCTGAACCCACTTAAAAAACACACTTTCTGCAAGATGCCAGGGCTGCAGGTTCCCAGATGTGGTCTCTAGGGAGAAAGATGGGCAATGCCCAGTGAGCTGTACCCTCTACTAGCTCGTCCCTAAAATCTATTTGGAGACTCGGTGAACTCTAAATAAAGCAAGTGCTGGGACAGATACGGAAGCACAGAAAGCAAGGGGTATGCAAGATTTTGAATAGAGGTTTTAAGCAGAATGCATTTAAGGACAAGGCTTTTCCTACTTTAGCAATGTCTGAACATCTGGATTCTTTTTTATTTATTTATTTGAGAGAGAGAAAGAGCGTGTGTATGTGAGTGGGGGGCAGGGGTGAGGGGAGGGAGAGAAAATCTGAAGCAGACTCCCGGCTCAGCACCAAGCCCAACAAACACTGGGATCCATATCACAACAGCGAGATTACAATCTGCTCCAAAATTAAGAGTCATACGCTTAACCAACTGAGCCGCCCATGGGCCCCTGGACTTCTGGATTCTAACACACAAGGGCCCCTTGTCTACCTCTGTAGTAGAATATCTAACTCTCCCACTTTAAAGACCACCTCCTTCCCCAACCACAATTTTTCTTCGTTACTTCGGCATCACCTTACAGAGCTCCAAAAGACAAAAGTGAATACTGAGCAGGGGTTCTTTTCACAAAAAAACAGAGAAGACCTATACCATGCCAGCACTTTAAGAGCAGAATGAAAGAGGGAAGACCACAGTAAGCATGGAGATTATATGACTACTGTGAGAATGGATGAAAAGTAACAGTATCTCGTGTACATGCCACTTTTCTGAAACAGTAAAGTTCTATCATTGGATTGTACCTGAGCATTCTCACCCAAGTAGAGATGGCCAGCAGAGCACAAATGCAGGGATACACAGCCAGTGGACACACACAGGACACAGAGACTATCACACTATAAAACACAGCCCAGTACACAGAATAATATAGTACAGCACAAAGAAACTAGTACAGAGCAGTGTAATCAAACACTACTAGATCAAGGTTCTAGACAGACTTTGACACAAACTAGTTATGAAATCCAATGCAGAGGCACTGAAATATAATTGGTACTATGCAAAAAAGTTGGTCAGGCTCTGAACTGAGGGGTTTATAAACACTGAAAGCACCTAACCAGGGTCAGGAGAGCAAAGATCTGAAACCCAATCCGCCTCTGTCCAGCTAGGGTTTAGAACAAGTCAAGTTAAGGGGCACCTGGGAGGCTCAGTTGGTTAAGCAGCTGCCTTCGGCTCAGGTCATGATGCCAGGGTCCTGGGCTTGAGCCCCATATTATCCTCCCTGCTCCATGAGAAGGAGCTTGCTTCTCCCTCTCCCTCTGCCTGCTGCTCCCTCTGCTTGTATTCTCTCTCTCACTCTGTCAAATAAATAAATAAAATCTTTTAAGATTATTTTTTTTATTTGACAGAGAGAGAGATCACAAATAGGCAGAGAAGCAGGAGAGGATGGCGGGGGGTGGGGCAGGCTCCCTGCTGAGTAGACAGCCCGATGCGGGCCTCAATCCCAGGACCCTGATATCATGACCCGAGCTGAAGGCAGAGGCTTAACCCACTGAGCCACCCAGGAGCCCCAAATCTTTAAAGAAAAAAACAAAAAAAAAGTGGAACATAATGAATAGCATGGAAGACATTAGGAGAAGGAAGGGAAAAATGAAACGGGGGAAAAAGGAAGGGGAGACGAACCATGAGACTATGGACTCTGAGAAACAAACTGACGGTTTTAGAGGGAGCGGTGTAGGGGAATGGGTTAGCCCAGTGATGGGTACTAAGGAGGGTACGTATCGCATGGATCACTGGGTGTTATACGCAAACACTGAATCATGGAACGCTACATCAAAAACTAATGATGTACTGTATGTGACTAACATAACACAATAAAAAAAAATGGAAAAAAAAAGGATTAAATGATAAATTTTATGTTATATATATATTCTACCGCAATAAAAAAAGTCCATACTTTTTGCCAAAAACTCCATTCATTTTCTCTTAATGCTATCACTCTGTGATTATGAAATCACTAGAGAGGTCAATATATATTACCTTACCTCAGATACACAACAAATTGATCCCAAGGCTTCTCCACGAAAACCATAAGTTGTCAAATTTTCAAGATCTTCATGACTATTTATTTTTGAAGTATAGTATTTCACTGCCATTACAGGTGCATCAATAGCCTTGATACCCTCACCATTGTCTCGTACCTCAATTTTATCAAATCCATAGTTCTCCTACAAAAAGAGAATATTTTTAGTATATAAAGACAGTCAACTGTTACCCACAAGAAACACAAGAGAAACAATTGTGTCATTTATTTTTTTATGGAAACTTAATATTTAAGAAAGTAAGAGTTCAAATTCTTAACTCTTAATTCCTAACTATGATACAATGGACAAGTCCCTTGTTTTCCCTGGTCTCAGATTCAACTGTAAAAAAAAGGTCAGTCTAGTCTTTAAGGCTCCTTTGAATTGTTTCAGCATCATGGATACTTCTGTTTAAATTCACATTTAAACTTGACTAAGAAAATTCTACTAAATTATATATACTTTTACATATATAATCTCTCAAAAAAACCCAAAACAGAATACTATCACCATCAGCAGCTGGTTCTACCCACTAAAAGTCTAGCAATTAACATTATTCATCCTGACTTTAATACTTTCTCCCTTTAATAACTTATTGCTTTCCTAAGAATTTTAAATATTTACACATAATGACGTTCTAAAGTTCTTTTTGCAAACAGAGAACAGAAAGATGCTAATACACTAATTTGGCAATCTCTGTGAGGTCTTCATTTGAAAAATGAGGGCAAAAAACCCCCAAACTCAACTCATAGTCTAGTTTTCCTAGTCTAATACTAGTATGCATACACACAAAAAACAAAATCTAAATTCCTATAGAGATCTTCCTATAATTACAATGACTTTATTTAAAAATAATAACCAACAAAAACCTAAATTTATATAATTCTGTGTGTCAGTACTTTTTAGGTCAATTAGATATGCAAGATATTGAAGTCTTATTGAAATCTTACTTAAGATTTAGTTCCTCTCTCTCTCAATCAAAAATTAACATCCTGGAAACATTCTGGCAGCTTCATTTTTTTTTAAAAGATTTTATTTATTTATTTATTTATCTGACAGACAGCGATCACAAGTAGACAGAGAGGCAGGCAGAGAGAAAGGAGGAAGCAGGCTCCCTGCTGAGCAGAGAGCCCGATGTGGGGCTTGATCCCAGGACCCTGAGATCATGAACTGAGCTGAAGGCAGAGGCTTTAAGCCACTGAGCCACCCAGGTGTCCCTGGCAGCTTCATTTTATAGAAAAATCATTAACTACAGAAACACAAACCTTGCAATACAAATAAGAACTCCAGGCATCTGAGTAAAATAACACAAAGATCTGTTTAAATTTTTAAATTATATCAACTGTAGTTAATTATGAAAATATTTCTAGTCAGGACAATTATTATTATACGTAATCATAATAAAACAGGTCTTACTGTATAAAGCAAAATAATATAGTTTAAAACTCTACAAAACAGAAACTGATAAATATCAAGACACTAAAATATAAAGTCAGATAAAAATGTGTACTTTTCTAAGAGAAGTTCCATTGGCTTTCTAACAACAGTTTTAAAAACATGTTTTTCTTTCAGAGAGCTTTAAGAATGTCTGTCTGCCTAAGTAAGATTCATAAGTGAAATTTACCAAATATAAGTATCTAATCCTACTTATTATCAATTGTATTCTAATCAGGCTGTACTATAGGAAATGCCTTAAAAAAAAAAAAGCTGCCTTTCTTTGGGTTTAATGAATTTCCATGTTTATAGAGCTTAAAATACAGTTGACCATGGAATGTAGGGATTAGGGGTACTGACTCCCACATCATCAAAAATCCACATATAACTTTTGACTCCTCAAAAACTAAACAGCCTACTATTTTTTAAAAACTGTAATTCCAGTGTAGTTAACATAGTGTTATTAGTTTCGGGTGTATAATATAGTGATTCAACAGTTGCATATATTACTCAATGCTCAACAAGGTAGTGTACTCTCAATCCCACTTACCCATTTCACAATCCCCACAGTCACCTCCCCTCTAGTAATCATCTGTTTTCTGTAGTAAAGAGTCCGTTTCTTGGTTTGTCTTTTTTCCTTCGCTCATTTGTTTTGTCTCCAAAATTCCACATACGAATAAAATCATACGGTATTTATCTTTCCTTGATTTATTCCACTTAACATTATACTCTCTAGCTCCACCCATGTTGTTGCAAATGGCAAGATTTCACTTTTTATGGTTGAATAATATTCCATTGCATATATCCACCACTTCTTGATCCATTCATCTATAAATGCACACCTGGGCTGCTTCCATTATTTGGCTATTTTAAGTAATGATGCTATAAACATAGGAGTGCATGTGGCCCTTTGAATTAGTGTTTTTGTATTCTTTGGGTAAATACCCAGTAATGCCATAATTACAGGATAGTTTTAACTTTTTTTGATGAACCTATATACTGGTTTCCATGGTGACTGTACAGTTTGCATTTCCACCAGGACTGAGAGAGGGTTCCTTTTTTTTCCACATCCTTTCCAATACCTTTTGATTCTTATTTTTTAGATTTTGGCCATTCTGACAGGTGTGAGGTGATATGTCATTACAGTTTTGATTTTCCTTTTTCTGATGATGAGTGATGTAAACATCTTTTCAGGTCTCTGTTGGCCATCTTGATATCTTCTTTGGAAAAATGTCTGTGCATGTCCTCTGCCCATTTTTTAACCGGATTATTTGGGTCTTGTGGTGTTGAGTTGTAACAGTTCTTTATATATTTTGGATACTGTTTACTGGAAATGTCATTTGAAAAGATCTTCTCCCATATGATATGTTGTCTTTTATTGTTTCCTTTGCTTTTTTTGGTGATGTAGTCCTAATAGTAGTCCCAATTATGGTGATTTAATCCCAACAGTTTATTCTTGCTATATTTCCCTTGTCTCAGAGGAGACATTATCCAGAAAAAATGTTGTTAATATTGTTATGGCTGAAGTCAAATTACTGCCTGTGTGAGCTTCTAGGATTTTATGGTTTCAGGTCTCACATTTAGGTCCTTAATCTATATAGAGTTTATTTTTGTGTATGGTCTAAGAAAGTTGGTCTAGTTTCATTCTTTTCTAGTTTTCCCAACACCCATTGTTGAAGAGACTGTCTTTTTCCCACTGCATGTTCTTGACTCCACTGTGGAAGATTAACTGACCATGTAATTGTGGATTTACTGCTGAGTTTTCTATTCTGTTTTTTCATGTGTCTATTTTTGTGCCAATATCATACTGTTTTAATTTTTATTTATTTTTTATTATTAACATATATTATTTGTTTCAGGGTTACAGGTCTGTGATTCATTAGTCTCACACAATACACAGTGCTCAGCACAACACATACCCTTCTCAATACTGCTTTGATTACTACAGCTTTGTAAGTCTGGAATTGTGATACTTTTGGTTTTTTCTTTCTCAAGATTGTTTTGTCTATTTGTGGTCTTTAGTGGTTCCATACAAATGTTAGGATTGTTTGTTCTAGTTCTGTGAAAAATTCTATTGGTATTTTGATAGGGACTGTATTGTGTAAATTGCTTTGGGTACAATTTAACAATATTCGTTCTCCCAACCAGTAAGCATGGAAGGTCTTTCCATTTCTTTGTATTGTCTTCAATTTCTTTCATCAGTGTTATACGTTTTCAGAGTAGAGGTCTTTCACCTCCTTGGTTAAATTTATTCCTAAGTACTTTATTATTTTTGGTGCAGTTGTAAAAGGGATTATTTTCTTAATTTCTTTCTACTGCTTCATTATTAGTATATGGAAATGCAACAGATTTCTGTATGTTGTTTACTGTGTGACTTTACTAAATTTGCTTATCAGTCCTAGTAATTTTTTTGTTAAGTCTTTAGAGTTTTCTACATACATTATCTGCAAAAAGTGAAAGTTTTACTTCTTCCTTACCAATCTGGATGCCTTTTACTCCTTTTTGTTGTTCGGCTGCTATGGCTTGGACTTCCTGGAAGTAGGCTGAATAAAAGTAGTGGGAGTAGACATCTTTGTCTTGTTCCTTACAGTAAGGGAAAAGCTGTTTTTCACCACTGAGTATGATGGCAGCTGTGGGTTTTTCAAATATGGCCTTTATTATGTTGCAGTATGCTCCCTCTAAAATTACGTTGTTGAGGGTTCTTATCATGAATGGATGTTGTTCTTTGTCCAGTGCTTTTTCTGCATCTATTAAAATAAATCATAAGATTTTTATCCTCTTGATGTATCACATTTATTGATTTCCAGTACTGAAAAACCCCTGCAACCCAGGAATAAATCCCACTTGATCATGGTGAATGATTTTTTTAAATGTATTATTAGATTTGGTTTACTAAGATTTTCTTGAGGATTTTTGTATCTCTGTTCATCAGAGATGGTGGTCTGTAGTTATCTTTAATTGTGGTGTCTTTATCTGGTTTTGATATCAGGGTAATGCTGGCCTCATTGAATGAATTTGGAAGTTTTCCTTCCTCTTCTGTTTTGTCAATAGTTCAAGAAGAATAGGTCTTAACTCTTCTTTAAATGTTTGGTAGAATTCCCCTGTTAAGCCAGCTCATTTTTAATTTTTGTTTGTTGGAAATTTTTTGATTACTGATTAAATTTCATTGCTGATAATTAGTCTATTCAAATTTTCTCTATTTTTCCTGTTTCACTTTCCGTTAGTTCATATGTTTCTAAGAATTTATCCATTTCTTCTAGGTTGTCCAATTTGTTGGCATAAAATTTTTCATAATATTCTGACAATCCTTTGTTTTTCTATGATATTGGTTGTTATTTCTCTTTCATTTATGACTTTGACTTTTTTTTTTGATGAATCTGACTAGCGGTTTAACAATTTTGTTGATCTTTTCTAAAAACCACCTCCTACTTTCATTGATTATTCTATTACATTTTTTTAGTTTCTGTATCATTTATTTCTGCTCTAGTCTTTATTATTTCCTTCCTTCTGCTGGTTTTGGATTTGTTTGTTCTTTTTCTAGGTCCTTTATTGTAAGGTTAGGTTATTTGAGATTTTTCTTACTTCTTGAGGTAGGCCTGTATTGCTATAAACATCCCTCATAGACTCACTTTTGCTTCATCCCAAAGATTTTGAAGCATTACATTCTCATTTTCTTTTGTCTCTCTCTATATATTTTTTATTTCTTCTTTGAG